GAGTGAAGTACATGCCAAGTTGAGTCATGAAGAGAAATGTCAGTGCGATTCGCGGCAGCTGCTCGCTTCCCTGGGAAGGAAGGGGCTGGTTTGCAGTACAGTAGCTAGCAAACCCCTCAGCGCCCCACAAAGTCACTAGTGGGAAAAGAACAAAGGGCTTTCCAAAGCAACTAACACAGATGTGCCCAAAGGCGAACTGTCAGAAACAGTTAAGATGACAGCTACTCACAGTTCATTATTTCCTTCTCACAGGTCACTGGGTGACAAGCTGGGTCAGCATGCTTTGTTGGCTGTCCCAGTCCTTCCCCACCCCCTATTCAATTTAAATATGGTTAAAGGGCTCCTTTGGATAAACTAATGTAAACAAACACATTCCAGATACTTAAAGATGCCAGAATATGGTATTTATTTCATTTTGGACCAAACTTGGAATTAAATGTACACACAACTTTCTTTATTCAAGAAGAGAGCAAAAACATTAAGGTGTGGCTAAAGGAAACAAGAAAATATGACCTATCATGAACTAAGAACCTTATATTTAAGACTTCATATAGTAAGATATTTCCCTTTTCTCCCATGGAAGAATTAATTTTTCCATGTTACCAAAAATAAAAAAGAGAAGTAAAAAAAGAAAGAAAAAAGAAAAAGTAAAAGGTCAACACCAGATGGTTTTCTGAAATGTTTGAAATGTACATTAAACAAAATGAATCCATAGGTAGTTAAGCCTAATTTGGGGTTATTGTTTTAGAGTCTGTGTGTGTGTGTGTGTGTGTGTGTGTGTGTGTGTGTGTTGTGTTTAAGAATAGAACTCAAAATACACAAATTAAATGGTAAGCCTGATCAACTCTCATGATGTAACACACATGACATTTTAGTATTTATTTAATATAACTATGTGTATAATACCATTCTCTTATAAAATCAGTAAATAAAAACTAATAGGAATGAGGGTAGTCAAGAGATCCACCTAGGCCTCGATTCAAATCCTCACTCCCCCATTAACCAGCTGTATTACTGGGCACATGAGGTTGCTACTAAGAGCTTCAGTTTCTGTATCTTAATTGATATGCACCTATGCCAGGTGCACTGGTGCATGCCAAGTTATTCCAGAGACTTAGAAGGCTGAGACAGGAGTATCACAAGTTTGAAGCCACACTCTCAGCAACTTAGCCAAGAACTTCAGCAATTTAGCAAAACCCTGTCTCAAAATTAAAATTTCATAAAAAGATCTGGGGATGTAGCTCAGTGATAAAACATTCCCAGGTTCAATCCCAGTGCCCCAGTACAATAAATAAACAAACAAACAAACAAACAAACAAATAAAAGAGTACCTCTATCATCAGGTTATGATTTTTTTTGGTGTTTTTTAGTTTTAGGTAGAATATTTTTATTTTACATTTATGTGGTGCTGAGAATCGAACCAAGTGCCTTGTGAATGCTTTGAGAGCACTCTATCACTGAGTCACAACTCCAGCCCAGGTTATGATATTAATACCAAATCAACCTCTCATGATATTATGAGAATAAATACTTAGAAAAGCAATAGTCACATGGTAAGTATCCAACAAATGACAACTATTAGTCCTGTCGTGAAGCTGAACTGAATCACCAAAGCATGAAATACCCTGGATAATCATGACAAGTTATAGTCATATTATTAGAAAAAGACTTTTAAAATCTCTTATTCAAAGGAAGTCCTCTGCAAATCAGTCTAGGCTGCAGATCTAGATAGTTGAATGCAACAGGAAATCAGGAGTTCATAGCTTTTCTTAATATTTCCTACCTCTTATTTAATTTTCACTGAATACTGAATATATTGCTATAACTTTTAGTTTTCCTTTTTTAATTTTTTCTTATCTAAAAGTTCCATTTCCAAGATATCAAGTTAAAATAATAGTCTCTATTTGAAAATCTGAAGATTTTGAATAATACTAAGACATGAGCATGAGTAGTCAAGCAGTATAAAGTAGTGGTTCAGAATAAAACGGAGCTAGGGGAACTCAGAGGACTTCATGAAGTAATTGAATCTCTCCATGTCTAAGATGATGATTCCTCTGTTTTACTTACCTCATAGGTTTTCAGGAATTGATGTACTTAAAGCACTTGAGCAAAGTCAGTAAATTTGAGCTGTTATCATTTATAATCTACTGTTATCATTTATTTTCACAGATTACCTGCCACTACTTAACAATCTCTGTCTTCTCCCAAATTTGGCTATTGTAGTTTACTCTTTCTTTGGCTACTTCTAAGGAAGCACTTAAATTTATCTCTCTCTTTTAATTATTTTCAATTACATATTCTTTGTTCAGATTTTCTCACGAATATTTTTCTTGATGTGCTAAAATCCAATTTCCACAGCTCAGATCATTTCACATAATTTCTTTATGATGTGCTATGAATTTTTTCTTTAACTGAATTATCATTGAGAAAAGCAAGAAAATGTAAAGCTCTCTCTCAAAACGGCAATAGTATAACACAGATTTTCTTACATTTGGAAAGTACACAACCTAACAAGACAACCTAAGGTTCAAAGTAACCCACATGCCAAATTCTGCATTGCCTTCCAATTTTGCCCCCTACAGTCCACCAAAATAAGAGGAAAGTGATTGCTCTAAGTATTTTATTTTTAACTCAAAACAACTTTGGTAAAAAGAGGAAAAGAAACTGAAGTAGCATCTACTGATAGATCTATTTCTGTCTTGCCTCTGGCTTACTACACTCACCTCTTCTGTTAAGTTTCTGCCACATTCTTGATGAGGTAAATTATGAGGGTAGAGGGGAAAGAAAGTAGATAAATCCCTGTGGCTTTAAGGAAGGGGGCCTAAAACACAAATCCTGAGAAAAGCTCACTAAGAAAAGTCCCCTGGGCAATTTCTCAAGAAAGAAAACTCCAAATATGTTTACTAGTCAATTCCTATTGACTAAAAACTACAAATCAAAATGTAATAGTCCCTATTATCCATAGTAGATACAGTCTAAGAAACCCAGTGTTTCTGAAGCTGCATGTAGTACTGAATCACATATGTTTCTCCTATAAATTAATATTTATGATAAAGTTTATTTTATAAACTAGGCATAATAAAAGAATAAGAACAATACTAATAAAATAGGATGCTGTAACAATATACTGTAGTAAAAGTTACTTAAAACTTATGAATTGTCTATTTCTGGAATTTTCCATTGAATATTTCTGGCTCAGAGTTGATGTTAGGTAACTGATATTGGAATTATAGGTAAGGGAGAATTACTAAACAACCTCATTTAAAAAATCTTTTCTATCTCTACTTGTTTTTAGAATATTTTCAAAACTACCACTTATTGAATGCTTACTACTTTATTAGAAATTGAAAGGCTCTTTAATTCTAACTCAGGTATTACAATATATTAGCTGCCACTAATCACATTTTTCGGGGGGGGAGGTCACTTTTTCTAATACTATATGCCTTTCTCACAATATTCAGTCATCAGATTGTACCTCAGGGAAAACACAACTACAGAATGCAAAAGCCAAATCTCTCAACTACCCAATGCTTTCAGGAAAAATATCTCCAAGTTGGGGAACAGGAAAATCATAAGGAATCAGGTGAGTTAACAGGAGGGTCCTATTCACATTGGGGCAAGTGTTCTAGAAGCTGAAAGAAGAAGTAACCCATTCCTCTTTCCTCAGCAGAACTTAAGTATTTATAAAGACAAAAGCCATGAATAACAACAACCTCAAACATTCTGTCAAAGAGTATAGAGAATAAATGATTGTCCAAAAAGAACAAAAATGGACTCAAACAGCAGTATTATCAGTTCCCAAGTGCCCCAGGGTTCCTTGAGTTCCTACTTTAAATGAGAAACATCAGACAAAGACTGTTGTTCCCAAGGGACTTATGTTCTAGTGATGTGAATAGCCAGAGTGGCCTGGATGTGTGGCTACAGACTTGTGGTCACATTGTAGAGCATCAGAGGGATGAGAATCTTGTATGTGATATAAAGATAAGTGACAGGGAAAAGAAGACCTGGAATCTAAATTTTTATGCTATCCAAGACAACATCATGATATGATATCATAAGATACTAAATGTACTTCTGTGCCTGATCAAAATAACAAAACCAAATAATAAAGACTGAATAAATTGAAGAGTCATTTTTGCTATCTCTTAGGAGGGAAATTCCCCTCCTATCAAAATCCAGGTGGAAATATGTAACTTAATAAAAAGTAGCTTAATTTAAATAAAAACTATCATTTTTTTCCTTTTTTATGCAAGAGACATTTTTCTCTTCAAGTAGTATATTTACATTTAGGAGTTCCTTTAAACTTTATTGACTATGATAAGAATTGTACTAGTTCTTTGAGAATATTTCAGTCAAAAGTAATTCAAGAAATTATAGATTAAAATTACATTTTATAAAGTCATTTTGTGATTTACAACATCAAATTATAATAATAATAATAATAATAAAATTCAGCTTCCAATTAAGTAAAGAGAATTGGAGAAATCATTTCCATTTTTCAATCAAGGATAATTTTCAGTTGGTTAGCAGATCACTGATATTGCTCGTATCCTGGCAGTAGAAATGGTGTTAATTTGTAAGCCATCACTACTTGAGTTCATCTACTGTGCACTTAACCTCAGATACAAATATAATGTTCTCCTGGTGGAAAATAAAAAGGAATGTTCATGGGTGTGGTCTTCTTAAAGACCTTTGGCATTTTCACAATTGGGTATATGCTCAGTACTGCCTTCACTTAATCATGTTATTTTATTGTATTTTAGTGAGATTCAAGGGAAGCAATCCATCCTCATTATGCTTTTGAAAAATTACATGTATCAATCTTTAACAAAATATACATGTCACCTCTCTTCATCAAATGTGACCCTAAAACTACACTGATTGAAAGCCAAAGGGCTGTTGAGGTATTTCAACAATCATCAAGAAATCAATCTTACATGAAACTGAAGGAAAACATCGAATGTCATTGAGCAATAAAGCTCAGTCTGTCAGTGCCCTACCTCTGAGCGGAAGCCTTAGGATGTTTCTCCTCCAGTTTCCTCACCAGTGCTACTGTCAGCTGCCCTGTCTCCTCAGGAGAACCTTCTGGCATTAAATGGGTGTCTGACGGTTCTGGCAGTTGCTTCAGATCAGGGTTGCTGGCACATTTTTGCAGAACCTAATACACGAAATATAGGAATAATGGAGCTAACTTCATTGATTGGAAATATCTTAACTATGTTTGCCAAAAACATAATATGCACTTTTCATGCTTTCTTCAGTTTTCATAGAGCATGAAATCACTTGTGCAGAGCCAGAACAAAAGAAGGCAATCCAAAGATAAAGCTAGTATATCACCATCTATTTAATAAAATGTTTATATAAATATATGACTTTTATATAAATATAAATGTGCATATGGGTATTGAGGTTATTTCTTAAACAATCTGTAGCATTAAGTTGTGAATTTATGTTTGGTTCTTGAAAACAACTTGAACATATTTTCTCTTTTCAAAACACATTTTAGAGATTTATTTCTGTCTTGCCTCTGGCTTACTACACTCACCTCTTCTGTTAAGTTTCTGCCACATTCTTGATGAGCTGTGGTCCAAGCACCATGGTGAATGTGATACTCTGTTTGAGTCACATCCACTTGTACATTTAGCTCCTCCAGATAGGTCAGAACAAATTGAGGATAAGCCTATAAGAAAGGAAAGAATGAGTACCAGTTTTATAAGTTGAAACCAAAAATCTATTCTATTAGAAAGACAGAATATAAATTTCATTAGTAGTAAAAAGATATTGATATGTTACTATCAATCATTACATATACAGTGTGTAATTCCTGTATTGTTTGGGAGTACTCTGTTCTGCTCTATAAAACAAAAACAAAATGGAATGGATGAAACTTATCTGGGTTAAGCATAGATAACTTAGTAAGCTGAGAAGTATCAGACAGAGTAAGCATAGCATGTGTCTGTGAACAGAGATAGAAAGAGATGGACAAACTAGATATTTAGTATTTTTAAAATAGTAACTAAAGCAACAAATGTTTTGATACACTAAACATAAACAAAGCTTATGAGGCACATAATGATCATGAGATGTTTAATTAGCCACCCCATTGTTGACTCTCACCTGGGATCCTCTGCCAAATAATCCATCTCTGCTCATCAGGCTATGTGGCACTGCTATTGGACAAGCATTTACCAGCTTACATGAAGCAAGAGTATGTGACTGACCAGACACTTTTTGTCTATTAGGCCCCTTGCTCAAATATCAATACTGGTTTTTGTATCCACATCAAATGGGAAAAGTGATGTAGCACAGAGAAAGAATATATAAATACAGAAGAATAAGATTCAGTAATATGGCCCTTTGACTCACTGGTGCCTTATCTTAAATGTGTTAGTCTGACCATCTCTCTTTCCATATATTTTGCTTTGTGTTTTGAATTGACCCAATAAATCATGATCTGAGCATTTTAATTTGGTCTGTGCACCTTTCTGTTTCATGAGCTCTAGGATAGGGTACCTAAGCAGTATACCCACAAGCTAACATTGCATCAAAGTAATTTCTTACATGATAATACATTTATATCTGAATCCTTAAATCAGCCCTCTGAAATAGCTATTACTATTATTACTATTTTAAAGAAGAGGAAACAGACACAAGAAGGTAATCAATTTATTCAGTATCATTGTCATCTAGCTTATTAACTAGTCTAGAAAGCCTAAATATGCTGCCGCAACTATGATATAAAGTCCTTGCCATGTCTTTGAAAGTGTGCAACGAAAGTTTGAACAAAAATACAAGGATCTCTCTCCTTGGTCTATACCCAAAAGACTTAAAAACAACATACTACAGGGACACAGCCACATCAAAGTTCATAGCAGCACAATTCACAATAGCTAAACCAGATGCCCTTCAGTGGATGAATGGATAAAAAAATGTGGCATATATACACAATGGAATATTACTCAGCAATAAAAGAGAGTAAAATCATGGCATTTGCAGGTAAATAAATGGAGTTAGATAAGATGATGCTAAGTGAAGTTAGCCAATCCCAAAAAACCAAATGCCAAATGTTTTCTCTGATATAAGGAGGCTGATTCATAGTGGGATAGGGAATGGGAGCATGAGAGGAATAGAAAAACTCTAGATAGGGAAGAGGGGTGGAGGGGAAAAAGAGGGGGATGGGGTTAGAAATGATGGTGGAATGTGATGGACATTATTATCCAAAGTACATGTATGAAGACACGAATTGGTGTGAATATACTTTGTATACAACCAGAGATATGAAAAAAATGTGTTCTAAATATATAGTATGAATTATAATGCAGTCCATTGTCATATATAAAAATTAAGAAAAAATACAAGGAGATGTTCAGTGTACAATTCAAGACACTAAGGCTCTTACTATTCTGGAAAAAGAGATATTAAATTGAATTTTATTAGAAATGTACAAGCAAATATACACACTACAAATGCAAGGCATTCCAGAACCATAAATACATGTTCATAAGGGTCCGAAGTCAATCTTAAAGTTCTACATACTGTATGATTCCAATTGTTGGACATTCTGGAAAGGACAAAACTAAGGAGACAGTAGAAATATCTGTGGCTGCTAGACATTAGAGAGAATCAAGGGATGAATAAGTGGAGCACAGAAAATTAGAGGGGGCAATTAAGCTATTCTCTATAATACTATGATAAATGGTGGATACATGTCATTAGATATTTGTCCAAACTTACAGAATCTACAATACTAAAAGTGAACTGGAATGCAAACTACAGTCTTTGGGTGATAATGATGTGACAGAGTAAATTCATTGATTGCAACAATAAAGCCATTCTAGTGCAGGACGTACATAGAGAAGGCTGTGAGTGTTTAGGGGCACAAAGGATATGGGAACCATCTCTATCTTACACTTGAATGCACTAAAAATGCTCTAAAATGGACTGTTTTTTGAAAAATGTAAGAGAAAAATAGATAAATCATACTATATCAAAATGTTTGTGATACAAACAATGCAACCTAAAAAGAGAAAAAGACAATCAACAGAATGATAAAAATGTTCACAAATCATGTGTTTGATAAGGGATGTATATCTAGAATCTGTAAAGAACCCTTATACTAAATAACAAAAAGACAACCCAATGAAAACATGACCAAAATATTTGAACAGACATTTCTCCAAAGATGATATACAAATAGCAAATAAGCACATGAAAATACGTTCAACATCACTAGTCATTAGGGAAATGCAAATCAAAACCTTAATGAGATCACACTTCATACCCACCAGAACGTCTATAATCAAAATGACAGAGAATAAGAAGAGTTGGCAAGGATGTGGAAAAGTTAGAACTCTTATATGCTGATGGTAAGAATGTAAAATTATGTAGCCATTTGTTTAGAAAACAATTTTATATGTTAAAAGTACAGTTATTATATGATCCAGAAATGTACTGTTATAAACCCGTAAGAAATGAAAGCATATATCTACAAACTTCTGTGCCAATGTTCATAGCATCAGTATTCATGATAAGCCAAATAGTGAAAGCAAATAAAATGCCCATCAACTAAAAAGTGGATAGATAAATCTGACATTTTCATACAATGCAATATATTCAACAGCAAAAAGAAATGAATTATTAACACATGCTACAACATGAATGAACTTGGAAAACATTATGCTAAGTGAAAAAAAATCAATCATACCAGACCACATATTCTATGATTCTTTTATAAAATGTCCAGAATAGGCAAAACTATAAAGAAGGTAGGAATAGTGCAGCGGACAGAATTGGAGAAATATTTGTTAAGTACAGGTGTCTTTTAAGGAAGACCAGATAGTTTAAAATTAAATTGTGGTAATGGAGGGATAACTGTGAATATATTGAAGAATAGTGACGGGTACAGTTAAAATGGTGGATTGTATGGTACTTAAATTCTATTTCAATAAATCTGTTTTGTGTAAGGAATTCAATTTAAAAAATTAAAGGGCAAAGTATTACAAGATTTAAACCAGAAAAAATACACTAAAGATATACAGGAAAACATGGAGAAAAATGATGCAAATTAAAAGCATGGTAAACATAATTTTTGTTGAATCAATCAATGAGTGACTATCAAAATTTTAAATGTGTATTCCCTTTGCCTTAACAAACATACATGCATAAGAATGTTCGTTGAAGCATTATTTACATTTACTTAAATGTGCATCAACAGAGAAATTATTTAAAAAGAAAGTAGCTTAGATATAGATGTCAATAGGGGAATATGATCACAACATGTTATAAAGGGGAAAAAATTGGTCACAAAATCTTATGTGTGGCTATGTGCAAGTGTGTGTGTTTGTGTGTATGTATTTGTATCTAATTAACCAGGAATGATATACCATCAATGATAATATTTGAGGAAGATGGATAAGAGGTACTGTTGCTTATTATTGCAAGAAGTTCTTATTTATTAGAGCCTTTTAAAAACTAACATATGTTACTTTTATTATTTAAATGAGAACTATGAAATTTATGTACATAACACCTAATAATTTCTGTGAAAATATATATAAACCTGCTATTAGTGAATAAATGGGAAATAGAGATGAAGTTTGAGAAGAAGGGACTTTACTTCTCATTAATATATCTTTTCTGATACTAACTTATCATGCATATATTGCTTTCATAACAGTATTTTAAAAACAATTAAAATAGTTTCTTTCTTTTTTTAAGTGCTGAGGATAAAACCCAGAAACAGGCAAATACTCTACCACCAAGCCACAGCTCCAGTCTCAAAATAGTTTCTTTATTGCACATAACCTTGGGAAAAGATTTCTGAATTACTAAGTTAACCTGAAATATTAGTAAAAAGAACTTTAATACAAGAAAAATTAGGATTTTCATTTTACCTTGAAGTTTCTATTGCGTTGTTATTTTTTCTTATGTCAGCTCTTATTGTCTTAAATATGTTCGAGAAAATGTAACTGATGAAAAAATGATAGATGATGTAGAAAGACTATTTTACATTGGTTCTACAGCAAATATCAAAGATCAAATTGAGCAACAAAAGACAACTGTATTTTCAAAAGACAACTGAATTTTTAAACTCTAGATTCTGTATTCCCTCCAACTCATATGAATGAGTGGAAGACATAATACCAAATATGTTCCAAAATATTAGAACATTAAAAGGATCAACTTATAAAAAGCAAAATAAACAATATCTGCTTTCTAAGACAATAAGTGCCCAATGGCATGGCTCTGATGGTGGCAATCACAAACCAATTCCTATATTCTAATGCTGGTTTCATATTAGTGTACTCTCATACAGGTAAAGGCATTTTATGTAGATTCACTTCTAAGGTATACTTTCCTAATATTTGAAATTGAGTATACCTGGAACATGGGAAACTGTAATATATACAATGAGATGGTAGGGTCATGATGTGGGTGAACATTCTGTTAGGCATTGCAGAAGCAAAGACCAAAAATTCTGTAGCAACAAAATGTCATGGGCTTTGTTTCTTGGAGTTGACAGACTAGCAAAGGTGGCAGACACGTATCAAAAACAAAGTGATGAGTTGTAATCCATCCCCCCCCCCCACCATGCATTTGGAGGCATATACAAATGGTCTAGGCACTTTCCCTTTGGGATTACTCTAAACCATTCCTTCCCCAGGTGATGGTTATTCTGAA